ATACAAGGTCTCACTTTTAAGTAGCTCAGGCTGGCCTTGAATTCACAATCTTCCTACCTTACCCTTCTGAGTGCTAGGATTATAGGCGTGCTCCACCATACCTAGCTCTCAACCCCAGATTTTGACTTTCACACTAGTCAAGCCAAAGAAAGAATTGTCAGTATTTTGTTTAAAGGCAGGGAAGTGTATCAAAATTTTTTGAAACATGTCCATGTAATATAAATTTTATCCAGAACACCTCATTTTCTGATGATGCATCATTACTGTAGTTAAAGTTAATAAAGTGAACAAGGTAACATCGTAACAAATCTATGGATATTTAAGGAACATGGTAAAGAAACTGGTAAAATTTACTTATCTTAAAAACTCAGTCTGTTGAGACTGACCTGGTAGGATTAGCTTTCCACACACAGATGAACAACTCCTAGGACATGAACATCAGTACAGGATCTTACTTCTACAAATACTTAGGTACTTGGCCAACTCCAGGTTCAAGGGAAATATGAAGCCTCACAGACACCCCAAGAATACTAAAAATCCTCCCTCCCTTCTGGAACTTTATTTCTCCTCTGAGGTGTCAGTCTCAGAATACATAGGGCACAGTGCTATGTTAGGGCGACATACAAAAGCATCAGTTTCACCTCCTAACTCTGACAACTGCTCCAGTGAAGACACACAAGGGTAATGGTCTTTTAACATATCTGGCAATTTAGAATTCTTCTCTTGAAGACGTCGAGAACGTCTCACTGGTGTTAGAAACTTTAGCTCTTTAAATGCAGAATTTGTTTCATCAAGTTGCATCTTCTTTTTTATACTGAAAAAAAAAAACCTCCAAAATTATTCTGAAAACTTAAAAAACATGCTACTGTTTTTACTTTGTACTTTCATGCTATTAATCATAGTGTAACTTGTATATTATAGCCACATGACTGTCTTACAGAAACTCAGAAATACTGCAAGCTCCCTAAAGTGAGGAATTTAGTTTCTCTGTTGTTACAACTTGCACACAGTAGATACTTGATTATGTGGAGAATCAGCTTAATTCCTCAGTTCTAAAATCTACTTTTATTAATACACAGAGATTAAAGTGATATAAAAGTTTTCTTTGTTAAAGTATCAACAGACAGGAAAAAGCAAAGCCCACATAGTATTTAAAAGGTTAAAATGCTGCCATGACATTTCATTTTTTGAAAACTTTCATATTAATAAATGATAGTTCTAATCTGAAGCTATCATAAAAATTTTAAAATTCCATTTAGATCTGGGGATGCAGCTCAATGCTAAATCACTTGCTCAGAAGGCATGAAGCCCTCAGTTTGATTTTTAATATCAATCAAATAAAATCACTAAGTATGAGAACAAATCACAGTACTTTACATTATAAAAGTTTACCTTTGCAAGTATGGTGTAGTAGATATGTTATATTTAATTACGCAACTTGATCTATTTTCTTTATCAGGGGTTTTAAAATTGTCAGTTGAATCTTTTCCTTTGTCATCTTGCTGTGGTTCACAATCTTCAAATACCACATTTCTATTATGTTTATTCTCCATTTCTGGTTTTCCTGGCTCTAGATTAACACCTGTATCTTCAGTGTTGATTTCCTGAATTTGTTCGTTGGTTATACATGCATCTTCAGTATTTTGTCCTATAGAAAATACATTGTAGATTTAAGCTTTTGGCCAACTTTAAGAACAAAATCAGAAGACATTATAATTATTCCTATTTGGCTGAATTTTCAAAACAAAAGAACCAACCTACCATTTCCTAATCAATACCTTTCCTAAGTAAAATGCTGCTGCCAACTATTTTACAGAGGAGTTTTATTCTTTTCTGAGAATGGGATGATGGGTATGGGAAAGAAGTGAGAGAAAGTAGTCGAAAGGGTGACAGCTGATCCTACCCCCACTACTGGGCATGAACTCAAGGACACCAACCATTGAGCTATAGATCCAAAGCCCTCTTTTTTAAAATTTTGAAAACAGGGTCTCAGTAAGTTGCTCATGCTGGCTTGAATTTTTCAATCCTCTTGTCTTAGCCACCTGAGTAGATGGGATTATAGGCATGTGCCACTGCACAGGGCTAGATTTTAAAGTCTTAAAAGAGACATCCTGGTAAATCCATTGAGGTGAAAAGGTCTCTAGATTTAATTATTAGAAGAATCACTAGAAGTTTTTACTGAGAGATTTTTTTTTTGCCCCCAGTACCAGGAATCAAACTCACGACCTTGCGCTTGCCAGGCAGGCGCTGTGCCGCTGAGCTAAATCCCCAGCCCCTGTTGAAAGATATTTTTGTAGCATAAGTGACTGTGGTTCTTTAGTGAGTGGCAGTTAAAGCAGGGATGAAAGAATCTGCAACCATTAATTCAGTAAATATTTAGGTGCCCAATATATGCTAAGCATTACAGCAGCACTGATGGTACAATAGCGAGGAAGATCAGACACTGTCCGTATGCACTGAGTTGACAGTTTGAAAAACAAACAAGTAACCAACTGCATCAAATATTGTATGGGGAAAATACAGGGAGAACAATACAGGTGCATTTAACCCAGGTTGGATGGGGTGAGGGAAAGGAGTATCAGAGCAAGTATTTGACAACTGAAAGACAAAGAGTAAGTATCACGTTATGAAAAAGTGGAAGACTGACCTGCAGGGTCCTGGAAAGAAAAGACACTATAATCAGTCCCAGAAAAACAAAGAAACTCATGAATTTGGGGGAGATGGAAAGTAACAAGAAATCTGGAGTCAAGAACTCATGAGTAACGAGTAATGTGGCTGTAATGCTGAGAATGGACTGGACTCGAGCAAGAAGAAAGTGGGGGAAAACTAAGGACACTCCCGTGATAGTTCAGCTAACAGCTAGAGACGACCCTGGCCACAGCACAGAGTAAGGAGGGCCGTGAGACAGACTTTCAGAATTATGAACTGACACTGAATTTGGTTGGCCGGTACCAGATGTGGGCAGGTAGGAGAGCGAGGGAGTAAAAAGTCACCCAAGTTTCTGCCTCAGTCAGTCAGCAGCACTCAATAAAACAGGAAATCAAAAGAAGGATCGAGTTGAGGAAAAACTCATGTGCTCAACTTTAGACATGTGGGTTTCAGAGGTCTAGGACATCTAAGTAGTGCTTGTCTCCACTGTTTGCCTCACATTTCCAACTTTACACTCTCTTCCTGTTTACAAACACTTTGATTTGTAAGACTAGTTTTCTGTTGGATCTTATATTTCAGCAAGTCAAGAGTTTATGCAGTTTCTTTTCTCCATGTAAAGACTAGTATTTTACCTGCTAGAAAATAACTTCTATTTAGGAAAAAAATGAGGGAAAAACTGAAATCAGATTTAAATACCAGTTTTATCCTTGTACATGTCTCTAGAGGCAGTGAGAATTACAGGGAATCAGACTTTCATGACATTTCTACTTCTCCTTTTTGTAACACAAGGTCGCATACATCTTTCATGCTCCCCTGGATGACATGTCCTCATTTTAAGATATGAGGTAATTTTTATAATGACAAATTTGGATTTTGAACTAGATCTCCATATTATCTCAGAGGCAGATCAACAGAAGTATAAAAAAAGAATCTACATATTTTAAATTTAAAAAGATTTTGATAAACTAATTTGGCAAAAAAATATAATAAAATCACAATTCACTTAAAGGAAACAAAAGAAACTTAAGACTTACCACAATTATCTTTTTCTTGGTTCTTCATTGTTATAATATCCACAATTGTCTGCCGCATCTCTTCAATAGGCTTAATTTATTTCAATGAAGAAAAGCAGACTGATATAAACTTCATATTCTCAGAAATTAGGTTTTACAAGTTGAAAACATTAAAATCAGTAATTAAAATTTCATATTTTAAAATAAGGCAATGCTCCTTAAGCCATGCTTCTCATGTTTTTCAATCTTATTTTCAACTTACAGAATAAAATAATGAAGTTAAAGAGTTTAAAATTTTCTCCAGTTTTTTTCTTAAGCCTTTGGTAAGTACTGCTGTTTGGCTGATATGAACAAAATTAATGAATAAATGGAAAATTCACATTAATATTTACTCAACAACTGATTATATTAAGTCTTAACAGCTCCTTTTCTCTTAAACAAAATCATAGTTATGTTTTATGATATATGCTATTAAATACATCTCTGATGAACCCAACATAGTTCATTCAAAAACTTACTCTTTACTATTTATTAGCTATTATACTCTGTTATGTACCTTTGCGCTGCCATGCTTGTTAATAGAACATATTCTATATGTTATATGAAACGGAAGCTTTTAGTGATAGTTCCAGAGCTCAGTGCTAGAATTACTTACCCATTTTACTTTCAACTTTCTTGGCTAATTATGATTCTTGTTTCCCAATTTCTGTTCTGGTGTCACATCTTCGTCTTTTCATTACTACTTTCTATCAGCAACCTTGGCTTCAGTGTTCTGTCCTTGCTACAGTGTCAAAAGCTGCTTTAAGTAATGGCCCTTTTTGTTCAGTGTACTAGGGACCTAACACTTGCCTTCAAGTGTGATTTTATCAAATACAATGACCCTGCAGGAAGATGTTTTACACATAAAAGCCACTGACAGAATATTTGCTGGGTTTTGTTTTTGGTGGTGATAAGGATCAAACCCAAGACCTCACACATGCTAGTATTTAACTTGATTCAGGTGCAAGGTCTAGTAACATCTGTTGGTTTTTCTAAGACTAAAATTAGCAGATATTTCTTCAAAAAGGCAAAAAAGAGCAGTTAAAAAAATTGCTGATGTAAACAATCTCTAAAAAATATGTTTCTGAGAAATTTGGTCAAAAGGAAATGTTTTAGGAACATTTATCCACAAAAACAAGTGAATCCCAACCAACCAACCAAAGAAACAAAAACTCTCAAGAAATGATTTGTTCTACACACAGACATCTATCTATTAACCGAGTAGAAGTGAAGGTGTGGTATCAAAGCAGTATGGTGGTAATACAGTAATGTTAGAGAAATTAGTTTTCTGTTATTTTCTTTATGTGGGCAAGACCAATTTACATAGTATTAAATGTGAGGAATTTCGGTGTAGTCCTGAAGTGAAAGAGTTCTCTCACAAAGCCACTTGAGCTTGGAAACATTCTGAAAGTTAATTTAATTCTATCTGCTTCATGTTCAAGATATTAAAATTATGTCTCAGTCAATTTCTCAACTAGGAAATGCACAAAATGACATGTACTGAAATCTCTCAAAGAAAGTTTCATTGAAGTTACATCAGCTTATATCCATTTTCTAAGATCTAATGATCTCTAGAGTACATGAGTGAATTTTAAGAGGTTGAGAAACCACATGTATAAAGCAGTCCTTATTTCTACTTTGTGCTGGGGATTGAAACCAGGCAGTTTTCTATGCTTTACTACTGAGCAATACCCCCAGACCCACTGTGGTCTGTAAACATTTATTACTCCTGTATGTATGAGGACAGTTTTATCAAGTTACATTGTGATTTGCTCCAAAATAATACCGCGTCATTTACACTGTAATAATGGAGATCAATAAATTTCAGCCTCACCTGAGCTCCTGCCAGGACAGCCTTCTCATAGAGTGAAATAATATTTTCAATAGGACTTGCGATTGATTCAATACGTATAAGACATATCCAATATTTAACAAGTTTTTTAGCGTCTGGAATATTTTTAATCAGGTCATTCAGTGTGGTTATTATTTCTTCTTTTGGGCATCCCTAAAATAACAAGAAATAAAATTTCAGTACATGTTGTTTCAGTACATGTATTTTTAACTTATGAAATATGAACAATTTTTTTTGTTGTTGTGTTTTTTTAACCAGGCCTCACTACGGAGATTTCAGGCTGGACTTGAACTCACAAGTAACCCAGGGTGGCTTTGAACTCATGGCCATCCTCCTGTCTCAGCCCCTCATGAGTGCTGGTATTATAAGTGTGCACTACACACCGAGCCACCACTGTGAACAATGAATAACTTTACCATAATCAAGATCAATAAGCTGGGTGTGGTGGCATACCGGTCATCCCAACACTCTGGGAGGCTGAGGTACTAGGATCAAAAGTTTAAGCTCAGCCAGGGCAACTTAGTGACTTAATAAACCCTATCTCAAAGGAAGAAATAAAAAGGGCTAAAGATATAACTTAGTACAAAGGTTGGTTTCAATCTCCAGTACTGAAAAAAAAAAGAATAATAAAGACAGAAGTTGATAGAAAATTATTCATAAAAGTAATTACTATCAGCCTAACTTCAAACTTATTTTAAATAGCTAATAAGCCAAAAAGGAGGAGGAGGAAAAAGAGGAGGTAAAAAAGGAGAAAAAAAAGGAGAAGCAGCAGCAGCATATCAAGTATGAGAATGACGTAGCAAAAAATGAAATACTAGTTCAAATATCAACTAGTAAAAAATTAGTAACAAGGTACTAACATTGCACTTGATTTTGATATTTATCCTCCTATACATTGCGGGATTTCATTTTTATAGTTTAGAATTTCTGTTCCTATCAAATGTTTATGAGAATAACCTACAATTTTTTTCCCCTTTGTCTTGTCAAATATTGATATTAAGGTTTAAATGAATCTACAGTGGTTTATGTAGGAGTTATACAGTTAAAAGACAGGGCAAAAAAATTCCATAATATCAAAAAACTTCAGCAGAAATACGAATAGAAGTTTTCTTGATTATAATTTTTTTTTTGAGACAGAATCTTGCTATACCCCAAACTCACAGTGATCATCCTGCCTCAGCCTCCTGAGTGCTGGAATTACAGGCTTTTGCCACTACACCCAGCTTTTATTATAATTTTTAACGGTCCTCAGAATCATAAGTTTTAAAGACACTTATGAACAGTAGGGTAAGGTTTGAAATCAAATCCTGAATTTAGTCTTTTTTTTTGAGACAGGGTCTCACTATGCAGTTCAGGCTGGCTCTGAACTCACTTTGTAGCCCAAGCTGGTCTCAAACTCACAGCAATCCTACCTCAACCTCCTGAGTGTTGGGATTATAGGCCTGTGCCACCACATCCAGTCTGAATTTAGTCTTGCTATGGATCGTAGACATTAGTGAGTGTCCAATGGAAGAATAAAGAGGAATAAAGAGTTAGTAAGAAATAAAGTATTCTAGAATTGATTATTACACTCCAGAGGATTTTTATCTAATAGAAAAAGTGTATAATGAATTCGAGACCAGCATAACATTGGTTTAGATTAATGCAATTTAGGTGCTCCAGTGGTACAATAGGTTGATGTGTGGTACTTATAGGGTAATGGAATTGTGTTTGAAAATATTTTAGTTAACTTGAATCTATGATTGGCTCTGTGATAATCATTCTTCCTCTTTTTGGTCTTTTTGAGACAGGGTCTCACTATGCAGTTCAGGCTGGCCTTGAACTCACTTTGTAGCCCAGGCTGGTCTTGAACTTTTGCAACGATCCTCCTGCCTCAGCCTCCCAAGTGCTGGGATTACAGGCATGCCCCACCACGCCCAGCAATTATTCTTAATAGTAATATTTTTTTGTGTTAGTCTTTACTAAAAAATAATTAGTAAACGTGTTGAACCAATCTAAGAAACAGAAATACCAGATAGATATTACCCACCACAGCTCAGAGGATATTAACATCTAAGAGGAATATGTTATAACTTGAGTAAAAAAACCTATTAACCCTGATATATTTTTGTGAACTCAATGCAAAACAAAGCTGATTAAAGGACAACAACCTCACAGAACTAAGTCAATATAATATCACTAACATTACTTGGTCAAAGAAAATAACAGAATTTAATGAGAATGTTTATGGAGATAATTTGGACACTGTAAAATGTTGCACAAGTACAAGGGAAAGACTCTACCTTATTAATCAGGTTCAGGCATTCAGAAAATGTCTTATTTATTTTGTCAGTAAATAATCTTTGCTCATCCTCTTCTGCCATGGTAGTCCAGAACGATCCCACTGGATTTTCATTTTGTCTCTCGGGCTCAGGCTGGGTAGCGACTGAATTAGGAGGCCTCTTCAGCACTCTTCCTTTGCCAGCTCTCCACTCATTCAAGCGAGCTCTATAGTCAGAGGCAGGATATAAACATTACTTTGATACCGATAGTAGAACTCTACTCAAATGGGGTGGTTATAAAATATTTCCCAGGGGCTGGGGATTTAGCTCAGTGGCAAAAGCGCCTGCCTGGCAAGCGCAAGGTCGTGAGTTCGGTTCCCGGTACCGGAGAAAAACCAAAAAAAAACAAAACAAAACAAAAAAAAACCAAATAAAATATTTCCCAATTATTACTATGCAGTTAATGTATATTACCAAAAGCAAACAGAGAAGACATACCTAAACATAGTTACTTTTTGGTCATGTGACTCCATGACATAAATCTGCTTGCATGGAACAGAAAATAATTCATCAAGGAAATAATACATTAAAGAAAATTACAAGGCCAAACCACAAATGGCACTCTAATGAAGTAAAGAAAAGTATCTACTCACTTTCTCTCTTCTGCGGTTTCTTTGGGCTGAGCTGATCTATCCACAGCAGCTTTTGCTAATGTATGTCTTTGTTGGTCAATGGTTTGTGACTTTTCCTTTAGTTTGGTATTAGTAATTGAAACAGGCCTGGCTACATTTTCAGATGCCATGTGATTCCATGACATAGATCTGCTTGCATATACAATAAAATAATTCATGAAAGTGATAATACATGAAATTACAAGCCCAAACCACAAATGGCACTCTAATGAAGTAAAGTATATCTACTCACTTCTCTTCTGCGGTTTCTTTGGGCTGAGCTGATCCATCCACAGTGGCTTTTGCTAATGTATGTCTTCGCTGATCAATGGTTGTTGGCTTTTCTGTCAGTTTGGCATTAGTAAATGAAACAGGCCTGGCTACAGTTTTAGATGCCATGTTTTGGGAAAATGCCTTACTTCTTTTTATGTCCTGTGAAGTGGTTTTGACCCTAGGCAGAACTGTTTTTGATTGAAAGGCCTTACTCTTTGTGTCCTGAGAATTGGATTTGACATTACATAGAACTGTTTCTGACTGTAACAGTTCTTTTTCAGTAGGCTTTTTTTGGACTGAAACACTGTTAGCAGAGGTTCTGCTAATGTCTTGTTTGACTTTGTTCTGAATGTTACTGTGGTGATTTCTAATGGGAGGCCTCAGAAGTTGTGTGTTCCGAGATGTAGTGTTCTCAAATTTAGTGGTAGCAGTTGTCTTTGAGGTTCTATGACTTCTTATTGTCACACTGCTAGTGTTTACGGAGTTAGGCTTTGTGCCTTTAGAGAAAGTAGTTGAAAGTTTGTTTGTTGTTGCAAAACTCTCATCTTTGACTTGTAGAGGTTTTCTGAATGAATTAATCTTAGACTGAACAATATGGCCATGATAATATCCTAGCATAGGTTTCTTGAACACATTAGCATCTTGCTTTGGTTTTTCTGTAATCATCTGGTTTTTTTTATGATTTTTTTTAAGATGAAATGCCTTGCTTAGTGTCATATTTTGATTTTGGGAATCACTGTTAACTGGTAACAACTGCAGAGTTTGATTATCAGCCTCAAGATAATGTGTTTCAATTGCTGTAGTAGAATTGGTTAATTCAGTAGAAGCTTTTAAGGGAATATAATTCTTTTCCATTGTTGTATTAGTGCTTTCTGTATGTCTTCTGATATTTTCTTTATCAGCCTAAAATACAAATCAGTATTTTAGAACTCATTTCTTTCAGAAAGAGCTTAAGAAAGGGAAAGGGGAGAAGGGAAGCAGTTTAGGAGTGCTATGTCCACATCTCACCATTTTTGTTTTAAGTTTCAGAAGTTTTGACCCTTCTTGGACTTGGTCTTCAGATGTCATCACTCTATTACTTAGAGAAAATAAAATAATAAATTAATTTTGTATCAGGGAGGTTTCCTTTTTTGGGGGGAGAGTGTCAGGGAATATTAACAATTAATTAACGTCATAATTTTGCACATGGTCCTGAGATCAAACCTAGCATCTATGCATGCTAAGTACCTGTTCTATTACTAAAGTACATCTCTGGCCCCATAACTATAGTTTTAAACAGAAACAAGTTGAGATTTATATGTCCTAAACAAAACTTTATGACAGCATTATTTAACAGCATAAACAACATGGCGGAGGCACTTAAAAGGTATTTTCCTGAAACTAGTACTTCCTCCTTTATAGGTTAACTTAACCCCTTTTCAGAGTTATAGACTGCCTAGTACAGGTTATAAGAGTATCTTGTAGGTGACTGTAGTGATCTTGCATAAAATTAAGGGGAAAAAAAGCTGTCAATTATACATGCCATTCACTGTAGGACATATTCCCAAATTCAGAAATAATGTTAAAAATGTGAAAAAGTTATTCATGTTAGAGTTGAAAAACTTTGGTATTTTTATGATTAGTAATTTTTGTTGCATTGCCTTCTACATGTATTTGCTCGGTTAGCTTGGAGAAGAGGCGGAATTTTGACATACATTGCACATACTTTTTTTGGAGACAGGGTCTCACTAAGTAGTCTAGGGTGGCCTTGAATTCACTATGGAGGCCAGGCTGGCCTCAAACTCCCAGTGATCCTCCTACCTCAGCCTCTCAAGTTCTGGGATTACAGGCGTGTGCTACCGCCCCTGACCCTGTAGTACATGCTTTGAATGATGGTTGCTTATAATTCTGAGATGCAAAAAAGCCTTAAAGTTAGTACAGTTCACTCCAGAGAGTAAGGGAACCTTTTTCTGTTTCATATACTTTCATGTATTTTTACTTTTTCCATAACGAGGTACCATTTAAACAAAATAATTAATGAAATACTACAAAGCTCTTTTCCTTCTATGGAAAGTTGAGTCTAAAATACTTTCCAGAGCAGCAAACATCTATAAGTGCTACCTACTCTTCTAAAGAACAGTTCCTCCCATACATTGAGTGAGAGCCTTGCTAAGGGGCTGGGAATATAGCTTAGTGGTAGAGCCTTCAGTTAAATTAGCATTTGGGAGGCCATAAATTCAATCCCTAGCATCAAACAAACCAAAAAACAAAAGCCTTACTAAATTACAGAAAGGCTAACTTTTGTAGCACAGTATAGATCAAAAGTCAGTATTTTGGTGTGTACACACACACACACACACACACACACACACAGTGCTTTAAAATTGTTTCCCCTTAAGTAGAGTAAAATTATATAGAAAACAATGATCAAGTGCTGCGCCAAAATGAGTGTAAAATACACACCGGATTTGGAAGACTTTGTATCAGAAACAAATGTAAACTACTGTAAAACTTCTTTTTTCTTTTTGTGACAGTGGGGATTCAACCTGGGGCCTTGAGCATGCTCAGCAAGTGCCTCAATCACTGAGCTACACCGCCAGCCTCACATACTGAAATAACATCAGTAATCTAATGGGTTCAATATTATCAAAATTTATTTCACCTTTTGAACACTTCTTAAATGTGGCTGATAGAGAATTTTAAATTACAGATGTGGTACGATTAAAGTTTTATTGGACATCTCTGAAATAATTTCCTAGAACTGAAATGAAATAAATCTGACCTCACCTGGAAATCTGATTTTCCTCCTTTGTATGTCAAAAGTGATTTTTCGTTTTAATGGATATTCCTTGAATATTTGTCTTCTTTGCTTTAAAAAGGAAAGAGCAACAAGTTAGCCTCAGTTAAGACATTAAATAACAGAAAATAAATGTGGTTGACTAAATGGTTTTGACATTGAAAACTCTTCCACAAGCCAAGTACGGTGTTATACACCTATAATCCCAGTACTCCTTAGTAAGAGACCAAGGCAGAAGGATCACAACTTCGAGCCCAGCCTGGGCAACTTCGGTACTTAGCAAGATTGTCTCAAAATAAATAAATAATTTTTTAAAAACCTGTCCCACTTGAAAGACTATCTTCTATATACCAAAATTTCCACTGAGTATTTAAGAAGTAATCCCATTAATAAGAGATTGTTACCATAAACGGTACCCACAATCACTCTGCATAAGAAACATTCTCAAAGACAAAAAAAGGAAAAAAAAGTATCACAGTGACTCCTGTGTGTGAAAACTCTGGAGAACCTCACTTTCAATATACCGTTAGAAAAAGGCAAACTTTAAAAAAACCAAACGGTAGGGAAAAGACACTAGTCTCCAAGATCTCATTTACTCGAGTTGGGTTAAGTGAACATTTTTTCTATTTTCCCATGTGTAGAACAACAGCAACAACAAAATAACAATATTATTTCCGTAGAACATCTCATCTATTTAGTTTTCCGAAAAGCGGAAAACCAAACTGGAAACTGCGACAGCAGCATGATGGGGGGGCGGGGGCGGCGAGGGCCGCGCAGGCGCAGTCAGCCCCGGCGCCCGCAGCCCCGCCCCGGCGTCTACACGCCCCCCTGTAAACCGATTCCGCGGGAGTGCCGCCGCGCCGCCAGCGCTCTCCTTCGGCCCGTAACGACCGCAAGGGAGGCGCTCAGCCCCACAGCGTCACCACCGCGCGGACGCCGACCTGAGGAGAGCGGCTGGACGTGAAGCTGGTCCTCGGCCGAGGGTCCTGCGCGCCGGACCCGCTCCCAGCGCTGCACTTCACAAACCAGCCACTCACCGGCTCGAGCCGCTTCCCCCTCCACCACCTTTGAACGAAGACTGCGCTCTCTGACTGCAGCTCCGGGGGCACGGCCGGGGACGCCGAGAGGGGCTACGACACCCTCAGACCGCCAGAACTACGCTCCGCGAAAGCCGCCGCCGCCGCCGCCGCCGCCGCCGCCGCGGGCTCCGCTTTTAAGATCGCCGCCACCCATTGGTGCGGGCGTGAATTGAATGGGCCAATGGGCGCCGGGGGCGGGGCCTGGGATGCGTTTGCTGGGGGCGGGGCCTGGGCTGCGGCGCTCCGGAGGGGCTGAGACCGTGAGTTTGAAACCAAGCGCGCTCCTCCTCGTCCTGGCGGTGCGGCGTGGGTGAGGTCAGCCTGCTGAAGCCCCACGGTGCGAAGATTCAGGACAGGACAAGTGCTTAGGCGCTCACGGCTCCCAGAGGGAGGCAGAGAAGGAAGTGTTGGCTTCGCCTCTTATTCCTCATTGGCTGCTCACTGGGGAGGGATGGCGCTGAAATACCGTCCCGACCCACAGGTTCCCGGAGCTCGCTTTTCCTCGAGCGTCGTTACTCTGGAGCTGGTCGCGGTCTTCTCCCGTTTCACAGATGCGGTGACTGGCTCGGGAGTTGTGTGTCCGCGTTTGCACGGCTTTTGAAGGCGAGCTGAACGTGGGCTTTGCCTTCCATTCCCTTCTAACTGCCGTTAGCAGATGCACGCGAAGGGAGGAGAGGGGAGGAAGGATGCAGTGAGGATACAGCCCCCTGGGTTGTGCAGCATCCTCCCGCGAAGGTAAACTAATATTTGCAAGGCATTTTTTTGTTTCTGCGTTTAAATGTTGCTCCTATTATCTTTCATTCCTCATCTAAAAATACCACCTCTGTAAGGTCCACTCTTACAGTCAGTCCTCTAGAGGGGACTAAATTAGAGACGGGGGCTTAGGGCAGGCGTGGGACGGTTAGGCAGGGTCTGGACTGTCTTTCTGGTCCTAAGCGGCGAGTTCACATTTCTTCCCCTTGTGTGATCGCTGCGGTAGGGCTGGGCTGGACTCTTCAGCCAGATTTCTTGGGGACGTCGGTGAGAGGATGGGATTTCCAGCTGCTCCTGCCCACTTCTGAGGAGCTCCACAGTTAGTCTGGTCGGTTATTTTCGCTTTTTTCTTTTTTCTCCAGCCACAGTAGCGCCTTGCATTTTTTTGCTTTTGTTGTGAGACAAGGTCTCGGCTACGTGGGTATAGCGGCCTCCAACTTGCCATCCTCCTGCCTCAACCTCCCGAGGGTTGGGGTTACAGATGTTTGCCTGTTGCTAATGAGGAATTTAGTTTGGGATTTCTTGTATTTGTACTTGATGAAGTGACCTATTTTTAGTGTAATTTTGCCAACTTTAGGCGAATCAACAGCCAAACAGCACTCAACAGCATTCTTAAGACACCAGCGCTGTTCACACACTCCTGAGTGCAACACAGCCTATTGCTCACAAAAGTTCCATCTGGTTGCGTAACTGGCCTTTCCTATGAAGTGACAGAGAACAGTTTAACACAACAGAGCAGCTGAAAAGAAACCCAAGAACCTCCAAAGTATACTAAGTGAAAGGATCAGCAGCAGAAGGTCACATAGTATAATTCCATTTATTTTAAGTACCTAGAATCGGTAAATCCATAGAAATAACAGAGATTGGCAGATTCTGTGGGTAGAGGAGGTAAGGAAAGACTGCTCAGTGAGTATGGGATTTTATTCTGGAGAGCATATGGGGTTTTATTTTGAAATGTTTTGGAACTAGATAGGGGTAGTGGTTTTACAACAATGTGAATTTCTCAGTTCCACTTAGCTGTTCATTTAAAATGGTTAATTTTTGTTATATGCATTTTATTTTTACCACAATTTTTAAATGGTCATGATAAGTGACTCCAAACTGCGGAGTGGTCGCTGAGATGGTGAGTAGGAAAACCTGGCAGTTTTCCCTGATCTCTGATGCACCCACTCTAAGAGTAGTACACACACACACACACACACACACACACAGTGTGAGGTGCAATTGAAAAATACGATGAATGTTTAAATTTTTAAAAATGGATTGCAGTGAGAGACACATTTGCTGTTAATCCTCAAAATACCACCCACTTTGCTTCAAACACACTTATCCTATTGTTCTTGCCACATTCTGAAGCAGTTCTGGGAGTCCTCTTTCATGAATGTCTTTAGTTGCTTTGTGGTGGCTGCCTCAGTGCCCTGAATTGATTCACAGCATTTGCTTTTCTTTGGGGAAGAGCCAGGAGTCACAAGGTGCCAGGTCTCATGAGTAGGACAGATGAAGACACACTAATATTTTTTATAGAAATTGCCATAAATGGTTGATCAACAAGGTGTGATCAAAATACACAAAGTTTAAATTTTGTTACAGTGAAAGACACATTGCCTTTAATACTCTTTAAATTACTCCTTCGTTTCAGACACACTTATCATTCTTGGCAGTGTAGTGGTACTGGGGATTTAACACAGGGCCTGTTCATGGGGCTACATACCCAGCCCTTTATTGAAATATTTATTTTTTTAAATTTTGAGGCAGGTTCTCACTAAATTACCCAGTGTGGACTCAAACTCGGTTCATCCTTCCAAGCTACCGGGATTACAGGTGTGTGCTCCTTGCTTCTCTTTGGAGAACAGTCTATTTTGGAGGCCACTTTTTAATATCATCATCCCACAAGTGTTGGAGGGAAGGCAGATTCTTTTCTGAAATATCCAAAAAGGCCAGGTGTGGTGGTGCACACCTGTAATCCCAGCACTCAGGAGGCCGAAGAAGAAGAACAGTGAGAACGAGAAGAAGGAAGAAAAACAGAATGAGAAGAAGGGAGAGGAGGCAGAGGTGATTTTCCAGGGTGAGGTCCCAAATTAAAGGACACACATATGCAAGACATCAGCAACAACAGGGGGCAGCACAGAGCAGAGCAGAATTGAACTCAGGACCTTGCACTTGCCAGGCAGGCGCTGTGCCATTGAACTGTATCCCTGGCCCTTTATTGTATAATTCTTATAGAGGTTGTTCTCTCATATTTACATTCTTGTCTAGTGCTGTAACAGCGCATGCGTGTTTACCTGCACTAAGTTATGGTTACACAACTGTGTCGTGCTGTGTGCTGCGCTAGGAGGTGTCCTTAGATACCCCTGAGCTTTCAAGCAGTCTGAGTGGTTCCCCACACATTTTTAGCTTTTCTGTAGAAATTGACAACAGGATTCTAAAATTTAAAAGGAGATGCCAAAGATTTGCAAGGGCAAAGCAATTGTGAAACAGAAGAAAAGACTAACTTCAGTACCTGATTTTAAGCATAAAGTCAGAGTAATCAAAAGTGTAAAAAAAAAAAAAAAAGACGAATAGATGGAATACAGTGGATTCCAGAAAGATAATCAAGCCTATCTAGCCAACTGCATTTTACAAAATTTCCAAGACAATGTAATGGAGGAAAAAGATAATCTTTCCAACAGATGATGCTAGGGTAAAAGAATATCTACATACAAAATACTAATTTTGACCTTTACTTCAGCCAAACCAACAACCTCAAAATGAGCACAGATTTAAATGTAAGAACCCAAACTGTAAAATGGCTAAAAGAAAACAAGAGAAAATTTTAGTGGCTTTGTGTCAGGCAATGTTTTTGATTGTTTGTTTTGTTCTTTGGTTTTTTGAGACAGGGTCTTGATATGCAGTTCACACTGACTTTGAACTCACTATGTAGCCCAGCTTGTCCTTGAACTCAAGGTGATCCTCCTGCCTCAGCCTCCTGAGTGCTGAGATGATAGGAATGCATCACCATGCCCAGTTTAGGCAATGTTTTCTTAAACAGGAAGCAAAAAACAAACAAAAAACCCCAGAAAGTATAAAAGAAAAACTGTATTGGACATCATCAAAATTTAAAGCATCATCAAAATTCAAAAGACACTCTAAAACTAAATAAATCCTATTAGTTTTGTTTGAAGAATCCTGAGGATAAAGGATGAATCATCCAGGCAAGTATTTTGCCCTATTTTGTTCCCATGTTTTGGCATATTTATGCCACATGACATTTCTCCTTGTTGCAGGCTGGAAATAGGAAACTTGTAGTTGTCTATCATTGCAGGTGCAATATGTTGTTTCTTTTTTCTTTTTCTTTTTTTTAGACAGGGTCTCACTATGTAGTTCAGGCTAGCTTTGAACTCACTAGGTAGCCCAGTGTGGCCTTTAACTGGTGGTGATTCTCCTGCCTCAGCCTCCCAAGTACTGGAATTACAGGCGTGTGCCACCACACCTGGCTTATTTCAGGTTTCTTATTTATTCCACATTGTCTGAGCAGAAATCAGAATTTGTTTTTGTGTCCTTGGATCCAGTATTTTA